GCTCTACGACCGCCTGGATTCGCTCGCGTCCACCTACGGGCCTCTGTTCCGCTTGTCGTTAGGGCACCTCACCTTCACCATCGTCCTGCACCCCGACGACATGCAGGCCGTCATGACCAGTGGCGATGCATCGGATAAGTCACTGGTGTACAGCGCTATCGAGCCGCTCTTAGGCGCCGGGCTCGCCACCCTGGGCGGAGACGCGTGGCGTCGGCACCGCAAGGGCATCACGCCCAGCCTGCACCTCGACATCCTGCACGACTTTGTGCCGATCTTCTCCAAGCAGGGTGCGGCTTTCGCCGATACGCTGGCCGAGCTCGCAGACAGTGGGGACGCGTTCGACGTGACGCCGCTAAGCGGAGCCTGCGCCAACCACGCTATCTTCGAGACCGTCATGTCCTCCGACTTGGACAAGGATGACCCAATGAAGCGTGCTATCCTCGACGGCATACCCAAGGCCCTCGACCACTTCATGTACCGCGTGTGCAGGCCCTGGTTTCTCAGCGAGTGGGCCTACTCGTTGCACCGCTCGCAGTTCTCGGACTACGTCAACTTGAAGAACACCTTCAACCTATTTATCCAGAGAGTCATCCGCGAGAAAAAAGAGGCACTGAAGAACAACGAACCCCTTCCCCAACGGAAGCGACAGGCCTTTTTGGACCACGTGTTGTCCTCTGCAGAGGGCGCTGCGCTAAGCGAAGCGGAGCTCGCTGAAGAGGTCAAGACTTTCGTTGGCATAGCCTCGGGGGGCTCAATGGACGCCCTCACCTTCTTTATCTACACACTCGCAATCCGCCAGGACATTCAGGACAAAATTAGACAAGTAAGTTAATAACACGGAGGGGAAAAGAGTTCAAATACCATCACACGTCGCGCACTTTCAGAGTTATAACATACCGCAGCGAGGATAGGCAAACCCGCCCTCACCCGAGCATGCGGCACTGTAACTACAAAGTGCTCCTACTACAAGCTCGCGACTGCCTTTCATTACTAGGAGATGGACGACATCCTTGGCGAGGACTGCGGACGCCTCGTGGAACACTCGGACCTCGCCCACATGCAGTACACGGGGCGGGTGATCAAGGAGACGCTGCGCTACTTCACCACCTTGCCCACGTTTGCGCGCACAGTCAGCGAGGACTTGCCCCTGCCGTCCGGCTTCACTATCCCGCGCGGGTGCCAGGTGGCCTTCTGGCTGCCCTACGTGCATCGAAACCCCCAGTGGTTCCCGGAGCCGAACAAGTTCGACCCAGACCGCTTCCTCCCGGAAAACTCACGCGGTCGCCACCCCTTCGCCTTCGTGCCGTTCAGCGCCGGGCCGAGGAACTGCATCGGCCAGCGGTACTCCATGATGTTCCTCAAGGCGGTGGCGGCCGCCATCGTTCCGCGGCTACGGTTCGAGGTTCCCGACGACGGCCCCAAGCGTCTCGAGGACGTACCGCTCACGATGAACCTCACCGTGTCCGTGCGGGGCGGCGCCAACATCCGGGTGCACCGGCGGTGACAGGGCTCGACGCACTGCGAGCAGTAAAGCTTAAGAACTTAGTTAAGTGATCACGCTAGCGCTGAACGTTTTAAGGGCATGAATTATTAGGTGTTAAAATGCAAAGTTTAAAGTTTTCGTTGTAGCCATCAAAAGTTGTTAGATTCGTTCGGGTCAGTCATGAGCATCAACATTTTAGCTAGGGGACCTCAACTTTCGGTTACGCAGCAGATCTAAAACATGTCATTGCCCATGACTAACCAAGACGAACCAATCGACATTTGGGTATTAAAAAAAATAATGAATGCAAATAAAAATTTATCTATCCGTGCTGGCTGGCCCAGAAGTCCATCACTGGCTGAGCTAACGTAAACCTCCAGCTGCGAAGCCACTTCTATCCAGCCGGCCTTGGCAGCCGGGGGTCGCGTTCCCGGTCGCGGCCTCAACTGCCTTGTTGGCCAACCTAACAGATTTCAACGACGCTAGAGTCTTCACGAAAGAAGGAGAATAGTAGACATATAAAAAGGATTCATGAATTAAAGGGATAGAAATGAATAAGGGTAAAGTAATTTGACTTCTTGCGCAAACTAAAAGCCAAAAACATATTTTATTAACTCTGTTGGTACGGTCTATGAACACGGCTGCAGACGTCGATCCTCACTGCTGCGCTGTGAAAGAGGGAAGTTCCACGCACTGACCACGATGGTATTTTGACCAACTTCCCTATAGGATCCCGGGAGAGACTGAGCGTTTGCTTACATTCTTCCCCTCTCCCACTCGATAGAGCAGTGGCCCACCCTTTCACCTAATGGAGTTGCCAACTTGACGATTTACTCCATTGAAAACAAAATAGTTTGGGGAATTTTCATGTTTGCTGACCCACCCCTTTTCGTTTTTAGGCGGTGATGCCTGAGGCACCCACCTTAAAATTTCAAGTGTCTCTAGCTCATGCCCATATCCTTCTATAGAAGAACTATAGTTCTAGTGGCTCGCACAGACCTCGTAAATGCAGAGAGACGTCAGACATCGAGTCTCAAAATAACTCTAGCTCAAATAGATAAACAAAATTTCTTCAATGTGCGTGATTAATTTGGGAGAGGTCACGGCCCCTCAACGGCGATTTCGGCTGACAGGCGTACCGTTCGGGCCAGGCCGCGCTATGCCCATGAACGGCGAGAGCACAAAGAAAACAACTGATAGAGATAACGCCGTTATGGTATGGTGCTGGCCCTTACAGGATCGTCCGCGTCCCCATCACTACGGGCCCCTCTAAACCAAGAGGAAAAAGAGAGGGGGGGGGTGGAAGATATAGGGTCGGCGATTTCAAAGTCGGGATTGCGGTGTGGTGGGTGTAGTTTGCAGTCGGTTTGGCGGAAACCTCGGTCTAAAGTACAAAACACGTGTATAGGGTATTCCGCTACAATACAATCGGAACCTAAAGAAGAAAAGCATGACTACCCGATCTGTTTCCTCCTGCACGCTGATTGGCGAAAAATGGCGA